TATAAGTGTGTGCGTATATATAATAGTAATAATAATAATAATAATAATAATAATAATAATAATAATAATAATAATAATAATAATAATAATAATAATAATAATAATAATAATAATAATAATAATAATAATAATAATAATAATAATAATAATAATAATAATAATAATAAGTCAGTCTCCCACCTTGAGTGTTGGCATGAAGTGTGGTTGTGGGCTATTATTTATAGGTTATCACCATATCAATTTTTTAATCTCCTTGGCAATAGAGTTTCCACCCGCTACATTGGCTTATAAACTATTTTCTTATGGGTCTTTACCTTACTTATAGAGCCATGTTTATGGATAATTGTTGGTTATATATGATAGAGAATACTCAAAAGGGTAATCATTCCTTGATGCAGGCTGTTGTAATCCTACAACATTTTTTTTGAACAAACTCCAATTTCCTATTCATTTTACCAACACTAAATATTTTAAGGGGAGGCCTGATTGGATGCAGTATGGGTATAAAGAATTTGAAATAAATATTTTGAAAATATAAAGTAGAAATTTCAAGGAATTAAATATGCACAATATGATTTATTTATGGTGCATTACAAATTAGTCCAATTTAACAAAATTTTAAATACACTGTAAGACATGACCATTGCTGCCACCCATAAATGCATATTATCAGTGCCACCTATCATTCTCTCTACCATTATCATAGACCATTTTTAGGCATTGTCATTGTTTTCCACACCCTTACCCTTACCTCTGCCTTCATATCATTAGGTGTAGGTTGTCATTGCTGCCACTATCGATTGCCACCCACCACCACATTTTCCATTATTTTCTCCCATATTTTTCTGTTGTTGGTGGATATGAGCCACCACTAGTTATATTTTATTCTACAACACTTAATTATATTACCACTCAAACATGTAATCTTAGACCAAAAAACTATTGGTTTCATCTTCTCTATGAGAGAGACAAGAATTTTATGAGTCTCGTAAATGGTTTTGTATGCCTTTGAACTCTATTATGATTTTTGGGTTCCTATCCTTATATCTCATTTCTTTTGGTTAACCCAAGATGTCATCCTTCTTGTTGCCTTTATGAACTTGTTTTCTTTTTCTCTTCTCCTCTCTTCAATTTCTTCTCATTCATTGCTTGGGCCAGGTCCTCCCCTTAACTAGAAAGTTTTGATATCTTAAAATATTCCTAGGTATTCAACTTTAATCTCTCTTACATAACTTTTGTAGAGGATAAAGTCGATTTTATAAATCTTGAGGTTGAAGAAGGTTCTATGCGATGGAATCTTACTTTGGTGGGCTATGCACCATTAAACAACCCTTCTATAGTAATTTTCTTCAGTCTATAAAAAAGATTTAGAAGCTTAAATATACAGTGAATCTTTTATTTCTTAAAAAAAATGTTTTTTCTTTTCAATTTCTACTATGTTGAATATTATGAGTTGGTTTTGTTGAGAGGGCTACGATATATTAATGGCAGGCTTCTTATCTTTAAGAAATAGTCTCTTGATTTTTATCTACCTAGTAAAAAACTTAAAGATATCTCTAAGATCACTAGCAGGATAAGGGTTCCTTTAGATGTTGACCTTTCATCAAACGTCTTACAACACATTTTCTAGGGTAAACATTTAGATAAATATTAACTCTGCATTTTCAGATATTGTTACTCTAAATGTTAAATATCAAGATATTGTTCTTTCTATCATCTATGAATGAAAGTTAAGTCCATTAAGTTCTATAAATTTTCTCAAAATCATTTTAATTATCCCAAATCTCTAATTACTAACCAACCTTTGTAGTGCCTACAATGCATGGAGGAGTAAATATAGGGACTAATAAATATGTGAGCTTGGATAAGTAAAAGTAAGCTTCCATAATTTGGCATTCTCCTCCCTTCTTCTATCTCATCTCTTCGCTTGCTCCAAATCATAATATTCCAACACTCTTATTCTAATTTTGCTGTTGAGATTAGAGAAATTATTCTTAATATGGTTAACATTTTCTTGCACTTGATATAGTTGAATAGATTAGAGTGAATTCCTCAATTCAGATTGGATAGGTTTCAAGTCAAACTCTCCCTTTTGGCATTTCTAAAAGTTCTTGCTCTATAAAAATATCTCTTGACAGAGTGAACTCTAATTTCTCCCCACTTCCTACTATCATTACGACCAAGAAGGGTAGTTCCAAAGGTGGGAACTCCCACAACTAGTTTTCTTTATCTTATACCCAAAAATTCTAGCCTGGAATAATCAAGGGTTCACCAATAATACCCATATTGCTGGCTGTAGAAGACATTATAATGAAAAAAAGTTCAATTTTACTTGTCTATTGGAAAATAAACTTTTTTCTTCTTCCATCACTGACTCTTTTTCTTTAAATTTATTCAAGTCTTTCCAAATGAGATATTATTAATAATTTTAATGCCATAGTTAATGACCACATTTGGTGAAATGAAATCTTTCCATTTAAACGTTTAATGCTCTGTACATCATTGCTAAGTACATATATGATTTTGTTTTTTATGATTTCTATATTATTTCTATGCTACTTTGCATATGCCGACAATAATGCCCAAGTGAGAGATTTTATTTGAGTCTATTATTCCTCTATCTAATAATATTAAGGATCCTTATATTCTTTTAGGATACTTCAATTGTACTCATCATCCTTAGGATAAAATTGGGGGTTCTCCTCCCATCTTGAGAAAGCCTTTGAATTTTAACAATTAAATGCTATCTTCTAATTTCTTAAAGAATCATAACACTGATTATTCTTATAGCTAGCACAATAATCAAGTTGAAAATTATATTAGATGTTTATTAGATATTTTTTCTTGTTTGGATGCTTTTCCCCATTCCTTTTTCAAGGTTATGATTTTTTCTTCTTCTGATTCATTTTCTATTTAGATATGCTGGTGCTTTTTTATTAATCCTAATTGCAATTTTTTATATAAAATGATTGTTGTCATTGCCTTGCCTTTATTGATATTATTTATGCTACTTGATATAAGTATATTAGAGGTGATCCTCCTCTTTCCCTTTATAACAAACTAAACAATATTAAATACACTCTTAAGGGCTAGAATTGGAACTCTTCCAGCTTCCGTCCAAGTCTATTTATGATTTGAAATCCATCCATATTAATATTATGAAATAGCTTGAATATTCTTCCGCTCCCATTGAGGTTCTAATTTAAAATATACATTAGATTATAGAGAAAATAATAAGAGATGAAAGTTCAAAAAGGATATTTCAGGTACTATTTGTGCACTTTATAAGATATAGTTCTTCAAGTTTGTATACTAGAATTGGGATATTTGATTCTCTATTAATCACTAGAAAATATTGTGTTGTTTTTTGTGGGAGTTAATTGATCGATCAAAAGTCTTTTGCTGGAATGGAATTGATGTTTCTTTTTTATATACAACTTTTCTATTGTCTCTTCTACATAGATACTACATATGATGATATTTGAAGTGATATTTCACATATACTGTGCTTTTATTTTTTTAACTATGATACATTTGATGATCATTGAAGTGATTTTCACAGATGCTACACTTTATTTTTGAGCAGTGATGATTTCTAGAGGTGGCATGGTGAATCAATCATTTTATTAAATCATTCTATTTTATGTTTTTTTTTCTATTACTCGGATGGAGTTCTCATGTTTATTTATGGGGGATTTCCTAAGTTTGCTGTCTTATAATTTATTTGCCTTTTGAATTTTGCTATTTGGAGGAATTATATATATATATATATATATATTCATTTTGTTGGACTTTCTCACTTTCTGAGGATGAGCTACTCTAATATAATTTTTCACATTGAATAACTTTTTTTTTTTGTCTTTGGAGCTACATATGTTCCTATGAACTTTCTTCCTTGGACTTTAGAATGGCTACTTTGAGATCTTTAGTTGGAGTTTACTCGAAGTCCAATTAAAATTTACTGCTATAAAGTTATACCTCTTGGCGTGAAGAATGTTGGTGCTACCTACCAACGATCCATGACTAAGGTTTTTGATGAGCTCGTCCATGAATAAGTCGAGTGTCATATTATTGACTTAGTTTATTCTTTAAGATTTAGGGTTGAAAGAATTCTTCCGGGGAAGCAATTGGTGTCATACCAATTCAATCAGCTGGCCATGCCAAGTTTATTGGTGCCATATTCACTGCGTAATACCATCCAACCATGTTCATTAGGTCAATGCTGGTCGAGCTCATCACGACACTCATCGGGCATCAACCATCTTTACTTCAAACTTTATCTATATAACATTCAATTTATATTAAAAACACATGAAATCATGGATGTTCTATATTAAAAAGTTAAAAATTTGAATGATTGATATGTTAATGCATAATTAGATGGTATGCATTTAAGTGTCCCTGAATAATAATATCCTGATGGCCACCAGAGCTTGTCCATCCAATTTAGTTTAGAGATATTCTTAGCTGGGAATTTGGTGGCTAATTTTTCATTGTCTAAAAGTAACAATTTACACCATAATCACGAGATTAATTGCCGCCACAGCGCTTGCACGACGGAACATCTTCCCTGCTGCCCAAAGCCCCCTTTCCACGATGACCTTCCTCTCACGCATCAAATTAAATTAGCTTCCGTCCGCTTTCAAGATTCATCGCCACAAACCATCCAAAAACTTCCCCATCTCTTCTCCTCCCATGGAGTCTCCTCTCCCCATCATTAATCTATTTTCTCTTCTCTGATTCCTTGCATCATTTACCCCATTTCTATATACCCTCCATGGCTCCATTCTTCTTCTCTAATCCCTATCTATTCTCTTCCTCGGCACTCTTCTCACACCCGAAGCCGCCATCCTCAGCAAAAGAGGGCCGCCCATTCTCCGGCTTGGCCGTTGATCAGATCTCCGCTGTTTGACAGCCGAAGGATGCCGCCGATCATGGCGCATCATCAATCAGATGCCAGTCGAACCGAGCAGATTATCTCGCAGTTCTTTCATAAGACCCTACACGCCGTCCTCACCGCCCGAATCCCCCGCCTAGCCGTAGCCGGTGCCGGCCGAGTGCGGCGGCGCGACCAGTGGTTCAACCTTGCGATCGGAGAATTCCCGCCCGCACTAGAGAACTCTGGCTTATGGCAGCAAGGCGTGACGGAACCGATGATCGTCGACGTCATTCTCTCGCCACGCGATGGCTTTGAGTCGGTGGCTATCATTGAACGATGGACGACGCAGTGCGATACACCTCTGCCTTGGGGAGACGGCATGTCATCGTCGGCATCCTTCTATAGAAGGACATACAAGAAGTCTACCCTTCTCCTGCGGTCCATATACTCCCTTCTCCGGTTTCTCCCCGCTTATAGAGCTTTCAGATTGCTGTCATCTTCCAACCAGTCTTCTAACTACGATCTGAGCTATAAGGTTTCGTCGATCGCGGAGCCATTTTCTCGGGAGGAGGAGAAGGGATTCAAGTTGCAGGCATTCCCGCCAGTGGAGAGCCAATTGGGCCATCTCTCCGTCTCGGTTCTTTATCGCCCGACTCTCGATAATTTTAATTTAGAAGTTTCATCCTTGTTGCCGCCTATGATAATTGCGGATTATGTAGGAAGCCCAGCTGCTGATCCGATAAGGGCTTTTCCTTCCTCCCCGTCGGAGAAGGGCATGCGTCCGGTATCTTATCCCCAGCGCGGCGTGCGCCCGTCGGCGGCGCCAGTTTTCCAGCGGCCTCATAGCTGGACCACTACGCCGATGGCAAATCATCCGCTGCATTCTGCTGTAGATGCAGTCGCCGAGCAGCGAGTGTCTCCACCTGATTATTTTGGACAGCGAATGACAATTCCTCGGCAATCTGGTCATAGGAAGGGTAGCTTCAGTTTTGAGGAGTACCGGCTCTCGCCTCCGTTCTCGGCGTCTCCTACTCCATCTCCGCCTACCAATGCGGCTAATGCTTTGCAGGCTAGATTGCGATCAGAGACTCCTCCAGTCAGCATACCGCAGCCGATGATGGGGAGAAACCATCTGCATCGCACTCCTAACTTTTCGGATCCGACTAGAAGCTTGTTGCCACCGCCATCGCCCAGAAATGCACGGGCTGATGTTTTGGAGGATTCTCCTTCTTCGAGGTCTTTCAGAAAGTCGGGGGATCTTACTTCGCTTCTGTACACGGCTCCTAAGGTATGACTTCTAGGGATCTTGAATTTTTAGACAATTTCTTTGTGCTGATTCGTAGATTGTTTTGAGGATGATGTGGCCGTTTAGATTATCAATTTATCATTAAAATTGAGGACATCAATTCGTTGGTGGCATTTGAGGGAGATAGCATTTCCTGCAAAAATTGTGAAAGGTTTTGTTAGCTGATAAAAATTTAATCCAGGAACCGCTAATGAAGTGGGAGAGAGGAATTGATAAAGAAGCTGTTATGTGATTTGAATTAATGACATTCTTATGATAATGTTGGTAATAGAATCATTACGATGAATTTTCTTTTATGTGAATAGCTTCAGGCTTCAAATTGGAGTAGGAAGAACTAATTTTTTTTTGTCATTGACACTTTAGTCTCGTATAAGCTACTTGATTTAATTGCTTGAGTGATAAGGGTTTTACCAGCATGATCAACAATATAGATGTTATGCAGTGAGTCTTTATTACATTTTTTGTGTGAGAGCTACACGTATGTTTAATTAACTTTAAATGCTGCTTAAAGGGTTTATCTGATTGATGTGAAACACAACACCGGATTGCATATTACGAATCCTGAAAATGCCGCGACTACGGGATTGATAGCCGGCCGAGAGCCTTCCTATTTCAGTTTTTTCTTTTCTTCCTGATCTCTTTCCTTTTTTTCTATTTTCCAATTAGTTTTTTTTCCCTTGTAGCACTATTTATATGTTTGATTTTTTGTTTTGAGGAAGGCTTTTTGATTTGGTTAGTGTTTTAGAGATTCTATCTCTGATTTTAACCTAATGGAGTATTGTATCATTTTTTTTTTGCAAGTGGCGTGTTTGCAGCTTACACAGTAAAAGGTGATGAATCTCCTCGACATCCATACCTCATTGTTTCGACGCTATCTTTGCTGTTTTTCAGTTGTTATAACCACTGAACGACACCTATCTCCTTCCAAATGCTGTTAACCAAACATATTTTCGTTATCTCGCAATTCCACAACTATCTCTCTGCAAAATTCGCTGTCTTAATTTCTCTAGGAGCCCTAGAATTGTTCCATCCAGTATTCGAGCAATGTTAGTAATATATTTCTTTAGTGTTTTGTATTTACAATCCCAAATCAAATTATATATATATATATATAAAATCTTCTTTATACCCAAGCCTTTCCGATCGCAATTTCTACCCTACCATAAATTTTTATAATCCAACCTTTCTACTTTTACCAAAATTCTGCCCCAACGCCTCCCACGAAAATTCGAAAATTCAATTAAATATTTTATCTACAATCTTACACCTGTCGAAACATTGATCGAGGGAAAATGATATGACGCTGGCTTTAGGAATGTGGTGTACATGAGCTCACTATGGAGGAGATGGAGTGGAAAATTCTCCAAATGTAAGAAAGGCTTGTAGCATTTTAAAGGAGACAATTCAAAGGGTTCTCCTATAGCCACAACGATGACTTATTAGATCAAGAGGAGGAAGTGAATCATTTCCATCAGATAATTTCTAGTGATGAAGAACTACAATCTCAATGATTCGACATGGAATATCAGATAAGTTAGGATTTTTGAGTAGAGTTGGATTTATTGGTTTTCAACGGTCGCATAGATTTAGGTGAATTTATTTAGTGGCTTCATGTAGGGGAGCAAATTTTTGAGTACAATGATGGTTCTCAGGACAAGAGAGTTATATTGACAACCATCGAACTCAGGAAAAAAAATGCTTGATTGTGGTGGGAGAAACTGAAGCGTATTCGACAGCGAGAAGGGAAGAGTAAGATCATCATCTGGTTTAAAGATGAAAGGGAGATGCAATGACCACATTACCAGTAGGATATATTCATTAAACTTCATGCTTATTCTGTGGAGATTCTTTTGTGGAGGAGTACATAGTTGAATTTGATTAATTTATCCTGAAATGTGAATTGGTGGAATTGGAGGAGCAGATAATAGTGAGGTAACATAGAGGAATGAGATTGTCTATTAGGAAGGTGGTGCAGCTGCCGCCGTAATGGTCTCTACTTGATGTACTAACTCTAGCTTTGAAAGTAGAGAAACAACAACATCACCAAATGACCACCACACCTTATAGATTGAGTTTAATCGCAGGATGAAACAACAAAGTTACACCCAATGGAGCATCGAAGTCAACTTCACTAGAGGAGAAACCCGTATTGAATGGAGAAAAGTTGTAGACTGTCTGTACTTTTAAATCCATCCTAAGCCAGGAAGTGCTTCAAGTGTCACAACTTTAGACACATTTTGTCTAATTTTTCAAACAAAAAGGTGATATCTTTTACTGAGTAGGATGCAGTGGAGAAAGTAGAGGGTAAAGACCTGAAGGAGGAGAATAAAGAGAAGTACCAATTACCAGCAAATGAAGAAGAGATGCTAGCAATTCAAGCTGAGTTCATGAGAGAGACTTGAATAAGACTAATATTGATTGTCATAGAAGGTAGGGAGGCCGAGGAGCCAATAAAAAAAAGGGGCAACCCTTGTTGAGGAAGTTACCAGGTGTCCTGATTGATAGTTTACTTTCTTGGTGGCTAGCACCGAGAGAGATTCAACATATCATAGACCTCATTCTAGAAAATTTTCTGCCAAAGTAACTCACCGATGGGATGCTACCAGCGGAGTATGAGAAATTGCCATGCAACTAGCCAAGTATGAGAAATTGCGAGTACATGTTACACACTTGAAGGTTAGAAGTTTGGTTCGTGAGTACTATCCCATATATAACTCTAGCTTTAATTGTGTCATAACCTGACACATGACTTGAAATTAACCAAAGCGGATACACATGGTCGGACGGTGAAAATTAAAATTTTAATATTCATTTTTTATAACTAACATTTAACAAATAAAAGAGCACTAAAGAAAATAAATTAATGCAGTACAGTTAAATTTACCATATCACATGTCCGCATCTTCTATAAATATTTTTTCTTATATTGCTCATATTTTAATTAATTAATTAAACCTAAAAAGTTAGTTTAAAACAAAAGTGAGCTAACCATATTCAACGAATACTCACACTCATAGGCTACAGTAACATAATGAAAAAGAAAATATTATGTATGTCGGGTAAAGTTTTAATAAATCATTATAAAATATTTAATAGTTTATGAATATGATCACCTATGATATTTCATAATATTTGAGGTGTTTTACCATATCGATTTGTCTATATCATTTTATTTCTGTACAACCGTCTAAAAATTATACCAATTAAGTTAGTTCAATATCAATATTTTTTTTTGTATTTACGTGCACATATACTTTAACACTCCCTCATGGTATCATAAATAAGTGAACTTCATCATAGCTAAACATGCACATGTAAGTACACTGTAACAATCATCATGCAGTGATCATTTCATTCTCATTTGTGTAGCAATCAATATAGTTACAGAAGATTTAATATCTATGATAATTTAAATAATGCTGAGTACACATGTCATTCCTACAATATAAACAAAAATTTAATAGAACGATAAATCATATGTATGCAATGATATAAATATAACAGTATTAGTAAATGCATTTGATCGAAAAGAAGTAAAATATTACTATAACATTAGAATATGAGTACTCAACTTGATGCTCTTCACAACATATTTTTAAGCCACAACTCCAATTCAACAACTATTATATAAAAATATAGATATTAATAAAATTTTTAGTTAATAATTATGTTAGTTAATTATTATTGTTTATTATTTTTATATTTTATAATTTTAACTTATATTATAATATTTCATCTTTAATTTTAATTATATTATGATTAATTTATATATCTTTCAATTTTAATTCAAAAATATATCTTAGAAATTATTATTATTATATACAAACTAACATTTACCTTTCTGCTTCACGCCTTGCCTCCGTCGGCTTTGCTTACGAAAACCACAAATTCTTGTCGACGGATCACAACACTCGAACAAGTTGTCTCCCTCGCTCAATGATGCAACATGCTTCGGTCGAAATGCGGGAAAGTGCACTCTCAAATTCCTATACTTCGCTTATAGTCGATGACACCTCTTCTTTCGACTTCAATCGCCAGCTTTGTTGCCCTCATCTGCCTCTAGAGCCTCATCTCCTCTGCTCAAAGATCGTAGACGTTGTCGTTCGGTGTCGTCGCCTTTGGCTTCGTTCAATGCTTTGAGAAGCTCTAGCTCGCATTCATCAGTCTCCTTCATACGTGTCGATAGACTACCCAGGTAAGTCATTCTCACTCAGGGTCGGCGCCTGCTATGAAGCCTCTCGTTCTCCCCTCTGCATCCCCTCATACACATCAATTTATAGAACAAAATCTACCTTTCTTGTTCCCGATAGCTCACTTCATCTCCCCCTCTTCGATTCGCTCATTCCCCTTGAAATATGGTGTTACAATCTTCCACACTTGCAAAAATTTTTCCTCAAAATTTCTAAACAAACCATATTCATCTCTTATTTGTAGATCAATATGAGCTATCCATAAATTTCATGAAGAAAATTTGTGGCCATTCATTAAGATAAAAAATGGCCATTGAAAAGCAAAGACTACTACAAGATGACTCAACAAAACTTCCCTCATCAACTAAAATAAAATAAGGTAACCAGGATAACAACATACTTAAATAAAGTAACGTAACTAAAACAAGACCGGTCACAGAAGTAAGAAAATATGCTAGAAAGACACCCTTATATATATGTGAAAACACAACAGTCATCAGACCCTATTAGCATCAACATCCGCAATAATATGTTTTTCAAGCTCACCATTAATAGGGGCATAAACTCGAGGTCGAACTAGTTGTCGTGGTTGACCTTGGGTAGGAGTTGGAATTATTGACTCTATCCTTTTCTGCCCCCACTTGCAACCTTCTGTGAAGGATCTCCACCTGATTTTTTATCTTCAATGCTCTTTTAGCCAAATGATGAATAATAACTTGCTATATAACTTGGTTGACGATATCGCAGCAAGTGTTAGAGTCCATCAAGTATTCACCTTTATGTTCTTCTGTA